CAGTGGTTTGAGGACACCAGTGGTTTGAGGACACCAGTGTTTGAGGACACCAGTGGTTTGAGGACACCAGTGGTTTGAGTAGCGCTCCTGCCACCTCTTTCTTTAAATAACACTTGTCTAGATATACTTGATGTGTCTTTGGACCTGATTGGTTCTGGTCTTCAAAAACACTTCGGACCTGCACTGAGCTCTGGGTAATATCCTGAATTTCTCTGGGGGGGGCCGCAGGTGAGAACACAAATGTCTGAGTCATGTGCAGACTTTCTCTGCAGGTTCTTCTTCCAGCTCTTCTCTTCTTCCAAGTAAAAACTCAGGATGAACGAGGTAAAGTGAGAAGATCTCAGGGGATGAGTGGGCGTGTTAATGAGGTTTCTAACACACCACAGAGGTGAAACTGAAAAAAACTGGAAGAACACAGATGTCTCAGGATGAAGAAGAGGAGCCGGACACGTAGAAGACGAAGACGTCCACTTGGAAARACGAKGAGGTTCCAGATGTTTTGGTGATGAGGGCCGACGCCGTGTGGACGAGCTGTAAACAACAACACTGATCTTCACACAGCAGAGTTTAGACGCCATGTCCCGCCTCCTGCTGCTCTACAGGCTCCACCCCTCTCCTGAATGCTCCAGAGAACTCTGGAGAGAGTTCTGACCTTTGGACATTCTCCAGAGTTCGTGTCGGAAAATGAGACTTGGACGTCGCTGGAGTGACATGATACTTAATTTGTCTCCAATGACTCAGACTTGTGTCAGTGATGTGAACGTGATACTGATTCTTTGAATCCAATTCTTTGGTCTCATCTCAGTGACCCGAGACCATGTTTCAGAAGGATTTCAGACATGGTTCAACATGGACTCGGAACTTGAATTGAACTTGAATCTGTTTCTTTGGAGACTGGACTTGGATTTGCTTCTGATTCTTTTTGGAACTTGTACTAATTGAGTCTTGGACACGTTAGAACAACTTGTGATGTAACATTATTGGATAAATTGTATTTGCTTTGATTGACTGAAGACCAACACTGTTTTTCAGTTCACGTGGTCCTGAACATGAACTTGTAAAGAATTTAATCCGAACATTTCTGGAGTGACTTGAGACATAAGTGGAATAACCCAAGAATTGACAAGAGCTTGTCTGTGATGATGTCAGAACTTGTTGCATCTGACCTGAAATGGTTTCCTTTTGGTTTATTTTGACTTGAGACTCAATTTGCAATTTTCAGGTCAGCAAGCTGATCGTCCTTGACCCTCAGAAGCGCCTCAGTGTCCGGGAGGCTCTGCAGCACCCCTGGGTGCTGGGTAAAGCCGCCCGCTTCTCCCACATGGACACCACTCAGAGGAAACTACAGGAGTTCAATGCTCGACGTAAGCTCAAGGTGAGGAGACCTTATCCATCAGTCTTCAGAGTTTACACAACAATCAAATCCACCAGTTTGTGTTTGTTCTCCACCGAGTCAGTTAAATCTGAAGGGTTAGAAACCAAACAGTGAAAACACCAACAACGTAATAAACCAGATAATTACTGTTTGTGTGTTGACAGGCTGCTATGAAGGCTGTCGTTGCCACCAGCCGCATGCACGAGGGATCGCGACGTCGTACCGACAGCTGTGAAATTCCAAGCTCAGGGGCTTCCAGGCAGAGCAGCATGCAGCAGGACCCGCCCCCTGATTCCACAGACCCCACCCCTTCAGACAAAGAACCCCCGCCCTCAGATCAACAGCCACAGGATGACGAATCAGATCCCACCGACAAAAGTGCTCTCAGCCCCTTGTCTCCACGCGTTCTCAAATCCCCCAGCTCCGATGTCACGCCCACAGACGCCGCCCCCACCAGGCCGCCATTGCGAGCCGACGGGCTGCGGCAGATGTCTGTCAGTCCTAAAACTGTGCTGGTCCAACCCCCACTGCAGCAAAAGAGCTGCTCCATGGTAGAGCCCACCTCTGGAGTCGAGGCCACGCCTGTGAGGGCCACGCCCCCGTGTCCCAACAGCCTCACTAATGGCTTCACACCAGGGGCGGAGCCAGCCAATCAGATGCCCCACTGCCAGTGATCACCTGACAGAGTGGTCTCAGTTTCACACAATCAACAATCACGAGGTTCAGCCGTTTAGCTCCAACTTCATTAATTGCACCAGAGCATTTTTCCTGTAACCACATCTTCCACTGCTGTTAATCAACTATTGCTAACATGCTAACAGCTGCTGGTGTCTATAGGTTGTCTGATTTCAGGACTCTTACTGTGGTAAGAAAAACCCCAGAGCAGCTAACAGACGCCACAAACAATCACAGCTAACAGGAGCTGCTGAAACTAAAAGCTAACTGAACAGGAGCGCAGCCCTGAGCTCGTGGTTATGACGTGAGAAGTAGCGTTAACGTGTACTGGGTGTGGTCAAGTATGAGGAAAATGCTGCTAGGCAACAGAAACATGGATGCTAATATTCAAATTCCTGTTTGAGACCAGTTCAGCGAGCTAGCAGTCAGCTAATAAATGCACGAAATAAAAGTGAAAAGTCGAAGCTAATCGAAACATCAACATTTTCTTTGATGGAAAATTAAGAAAAACAAGAAAAATGACAGATTATTATTTTATCATAAATGAAAAATGAACTTCCATGAACTCCGCCATGAAAACGTCAAAACGTGTCAGTGTTCATGAGCTCTCTCTCTGGGGTGGTGACCACCACAAGAGGGCAGCGTTCACATCCACTTCTGACATCATATCGATAAAAAGAAAACTACTGTTAAACTCCTCCTGTTGAAAACAGTTGTGATATTAAAACATTGCTGTTTTAGTAAATTCTTTATTTCTCAGAGATTTAAATGTATCTCTGAATATATAATATTAGTGTTAATGTTGAATTGGTGGTTTATATTCCATTGATAATCACTATCACTGGTTTATTGGATATGACATGAACACATTGTCATTAACATTAAACCCTCAGACTCTTCATGGCTCAGATCAAACTAAAATGGCGTCTCTGTGTTTGCTTCTTACCACAGAACAGCTGAACGTGAACCAATGAAAAAAAGTTCAACGATGCTGGAAACATCTGGAATCACAGCTGCTGTTCACACATGTTGATAACGTTATGTTGCTGTGATCAGAGTCTGAAGCTTCACGTTGGTTCAGGTTTCATCTGTTAGTTTTAGTTTCACGTTGTGATTCAGGGACTAAAGAATTTTGTCTGACACACGTCCGTCCTGTCCTCATCACCTACGTGGGCGTCGTCTATACCTGTACTTGACTCTGATTGGTTTGTAGACGGCGTCTGATATGGCCATGTTGTCAGTGGGGGGGTAGTGGTCTTTCTGTTTGAATGGAGGACATGAATGAAGCTTCATCTGGTTGCCATGGTAACATCATGATGTATCATTAGCAGCATTAGCACCTTCATGTGCAGTACTCCACAGTACTACAGTACTCCACAGTACTACAGTACTCCACAGT